AGGTAACCTTTAACTTATTTGGGTCGTTATATTCCCTATATATATATATATATAGATAGGTTTATATATATATATATATATCCCCGAAGGTTAAGCTTCAGTTCCCCATGATACTGGACGAGTAGGTAAGCCCCAATCCTCAGGAAAGCATCTGAAAGCAACTTCTCGATCCGCCTATACTGTGAGGTATATTATATTCCGCAGCTATGAGGTTTGGGAGTCTGTGGGTACACCGAGCTCCTCAACCACAAACTCCTATAGCACCTCGTATAAACCCCCTAGACACCAAAGAAGCCTCAAGAAGCGACTTGCCCCTTAAACCCTAAACCAGCTGTCAGGGTCGTCGTCAAGTCATGCCTGCCTTGCGCGAGTGTGTGAGTCGAACCCCCCAAACCCTAAAGCCCAAAGCCTCAAACCCAAAAGTCGGTAGAGAGTGAACGACGGAACCCTGAAGCGCCGAGGTGCCTGTGAAGCTTCCCTTCTGGGATCGGCGCACTCCTGTGACCGTGGCACGAGCATCTTCTCAGGCCTTTTTGAAACCCTAAACCCTAAACCCTAAACCCTAACCTACCTTTTCAGGGCTCCTCACTCTGATTTCCTGTTTTCAAAGTCCATAATTAGAATGCTTGGTCTTTAGGGTCTAGGGTGCCCCGAAGCATCGAGGGCTTAGGGTTCATCTTTGTCTTTGTAGGGGGTTTGCGGTTCAACTTTTCGAGGTTTAGGCCGGTTTAGGGGTTTCAATTTACGGCTCGGAATGGTTAGGGTTTAGGGTTTAGGGTTCGTAATGTTTATTCCTTAAACAGTTGCTTATTATATCCTAAACCCTAAACTACAATGATCCCCAACACCGTGCTCTACTCGTAAAGACCCCTACAGTTTGGAGTCTGAGAGCTGTTTCTTTATCTTGGGCTTTGTGGCTCTGTTGCAGGTTTCTCGTTCTTCTTGCATGTGGCGTTTTTGGGCTTTCTGCTAGTGCTTGTATGGACCATTTAACCTTCTTGGGGCATCAGTGTGCCAATATTAATTCCAAAGGGTAACCTTTAGTAGTTCCCCTACGCTGCAGGACAAGTAAGTTACGCATTTACCGGATCTGAGATGATCCCAAGGCTCAAGACGTTAAGGGTTTGACGTTGAGATTTCAGTTGTTGTGTTGTCGGGGGGATTTGGATTCAGGGTGTCTATTGGCTTGGGTGTTAAGTTAAGGCTTCGAGGTTAGTGGGGTTGAGGAACCGGCACAAAGGATGTAACTATCGCTTCTGTACGACCTCTTGTTTGCCTGCCACGGTACATGAATGATACGCACTCATGTAGGGATGTTAACAGTGGATTACTAAGCTTCCTGCAAGCCACCTGTCGAAGAGAAAGATGAAAGTTGAAAGATATTCAATCAGGGATTCTATCCCTAAACCGCCTAAACCCCATGCCCTAAACTTTAAGCCGGGCATGTCGAACCTCTTGAACGTAGTGCGCTCGGAGGTCGCATCCGGCAGCTCCCTGAGACTTCTCTTGGCGAGCTGCTCCTCCCGCCTCGCACGATCTGTGCTGTGGACACAAGCTTTATGGTTTAGGGCTGTGGGGGTTTATAGGGTTCAGGGATCTAGGCTTCAGAGTCCAGAGTTTGGGTTTGGGGTCTTGCGGGTTTAGGGTTCAGCTCCATGACATTTCAAGCCCCGACGCAAGTGAATTAATTAGGCAATTGTGTGTCTCTCACTCTCTCTCTCTCTCTTTGTTTGGGTTGTGTTGGTAAAACGGCCTAAAGGGATTGAGGTAAATTGTGGTTTTACGGCAGTTAGATCCATGAAAGGGTCTAGAGACCTGGGCCAATCTAGGGTCAGGGCTTCAGTGGCTTCATGATTCCCGAAGCCTAAACCCTAAACCCTAAACCCCAAAGCCCTAACCCTAAACCCTAACAGAACGAAGGGTCGACAGCCAGATTCATATGACCTCTTCAGGCCGCGGATGTCTGGCCCAGCGAAAGTAGGACGCTGGATGCAACGCTATTCTGACAATCTCGGCCCTTGTATCGTGGGCTTGGCTTAAACCCTAAACCCTAAACTGTCACTTTCCAGGATCCTAAAAATCTACGTTCATGTGGTTTATAAGGTCGGCTTTTAGATGTCCTTTTCGGATGTAAAATCACCTACCCTAACTCTCCAGGTACCTGCTATATAGGGCCTTAGGGGCTCTAGTACCCTATATAGTAGGTAACTGGGGGGTTAGGGCTAGGCATCTGCAGTTTCTCCAGAGCGCTAAACTCACACGAGATCGGGCCAGGCACCGCAGCTGCAGCTACGCTCAGGACGCAAGTAAGAGGAATCCGAGAGCCCTGCCCCAAGCCTTAAAATAGAAGGGGGCCTTAAGAATAAATAACTACCTATACTATGTTGGGGGTTCCTTATTATAGTTCTAGTATAATGGGCCCCAAGAACCTTATTATAGTTCTAATATATTCTAATCCTTACCTATAGGCCCCATAGCAGTTCCTTTTTGGGGTTTATATTTACAGTTCTATAAGGTAGTCCCAAAAAGGAACTACTATGGGGCCTATGGGTAAGGCCCCTACATTACACTAGACCTCACGGTCAAGTCTTAGAGGCTGGGCACGTTCTTTGAGGTAGTGTACCCGCTGCGGCGCTGGTGCAGACGCAGCAGGTCGGGTCTGCTTTGGAATCGAAGTTTAGGGTTTAGCGTTTGGGGTTTAGTGTTTAGGGTTTGGGGTTAAGGAAGTTTAGAGTTTGGGGTTTGGGGTTTAGGGTTTAGGGTTTGGCGTTTAGGGTTTAGGGTTTGGGGTTTAGGGTTTAGGGTTTAGGGTTAGGGTTTAGGGTTTGGGGTTAAGGAAGTTGAGGGTTTGGGGTTTAGGGTTTGGGGTTAAGGAAGTTTAGGGTTTAGGGTTTGGGGTCGAGGGTCGAGCTGCTTGAGGTCTCGGATGGGTCATTGGGCAAAGGGGCAGCGCATTTTGCACCATGGTAGAGTGGTGAAGGCTTCGCAATCACTAGGTTGTGAGACAGCCCTTCTTGATATTGGTGTTGAGTTTCGGCTTACGCATGTTTCAAGTTGCTTGTTCCGGCAATGGTAGACACGCCACAAACGGTGACATGGCCTGCGTACTGGATGGCAGCCTACGTGCTAGTTGCCGGCAGCCTGGAAGATTCAGATGAAGTGATGAGACCCAAACCAACAGCAATATAGTAGCACCTATGCCTACACCTTACCTACGCAGAAGTAAAGGAAGGATTCAGGTTTCGAGAGACATAGTATAGGGGCCTTAGAGGCTCCTTATAATGATTATAGTATAGTAATATATACCCCAAACCCTATTCTAGTTATCTCCAAGGGTCCCCCTACTCCTGATGGAGAGACATGGCACCGAACCTCCGAAACTGTAAACTCGAAATCTTCCTGGAGGCTGAGTTGACAAGCACCCGCACCTTTCTCAGCGTGAGGTCCCTTGCCGACGGTTTCCCTCAAGAGTCCTAGGGGTGGTAATATAGGGGCCTTAATAATTAGAATGATAGGGTTTTTGGGGGATACTATACTATAAATATAGTAAGGAAACCCAAAACAGCATTGGTAATTATTTAGGCCCCTCTAGTCTCTTATACGGTTTAGGTGTGATGGTTTTGGGTCATCTAGGGTCTTTGGAGTTCGGAGTCAAAATGTTTGAGATGCCGAGGTGGGTTTGGGGGGCTTGAGGGCTTGAGTTTGAGGGTGCCGGGGCTCGTCGAAACTCCAGGCCCTTGCTGCTCGCTGCTCGCTTCCCACAACACAAGACCAGCACAAATCTAGACGATAGACACCCTGAGCCCTAAACCTTAAACCCTAAACCCTAAACCTTCAACCCAAGGCAAAAAAACCTTAAACCCAAAACCTTAAAACCATATGCAAGGCCTTTTGCAGACCTCCAGCCCTTCTGTAAACTCTGCTTGGAGCCCGCGGCCACGAACTCCTCTGAGGGCTGTCAGGCTTTGGTGATTGGAAGCCTGGAGCTGCTGTCGGTTTAGGGTTTAGGGATCAGGGTACGGGTTTAGGGGGTGTAGGGTTTAGGGTTTAGGGTTTAGGGTACGGTTTCGGGCTTAGGGGGCTTAGGGTTTAGGGGTTTAGGGTTTCGATGCTGTTCGAACAAGGATAAGCAAGGTTTAGGGTTTAGGGTTAATATAGGGGCCTTTATAATTCGAATAGGGTTTTGGGGCCCATTATTCATTATACTATACTGATAATAAGGAGCCCCCAGAACAGTACCGGTAATTATTGGGGCCCCTACATTAGGGAAACCCTTGTTCACCCCGACCCTCGTTTTCCACGCGCAGGCCGGCTGGGCTTGAGCTGCACTTCTGCGCGCCAGTCGAGGTCGGAAGGGCGGGGGCGGCTGTTTGGGTCTAGGGTGGCTCCTATTTTGCTGATGCAGCTACAGCTGCTATTTTTGCTGCTGCTGACAACTACTCCGGCTGGTGCTGCTGCTGCTCCTAGTACTGATACTCGTACCACCGGTGCTACTGCCACTACGACTACGACTAATGACTACGTCTACTCGTAGATCTGTTTCAGGTTTGGCTGCTTTTTAGGTTAGATACTGTAAGGGACGCACGAAATCCATAAAGGGTTGATTAACATCGAACGTGCGTACGGCTTCTGCCAATGTTCTATGTCAGTGCATGAGGTTGTTTGAGACTAGCTTTCCCCTGCCGTATGAGCCGTTTGATTCAGAGGTTCTTCGGGCGCAAAGTACCGAATGCTCGTGTGTATGTGAAAGTCAACGACCGCGACTGCAGCCCGACATGCCGGCGATGTCGAGCTAAGGAGGACACACCTTTAGGGTTTAGGGTTTAGGCAAGACTGCATGCACCGTTGCGGTTTTTTTCTTGCACAGCGAAGGGCAAGTTGTCGCAAGAGTGTGGCCGTGGAACGAGAGATGTCTGATCTTCAGCAAGCAGCTCAGCCGTACGTAGTTTTAGGCTCAAGGAAAGGAGAAAGGGCAAGCCGGCCTCGTGATTCACCTCCGCATGGCAGAAAAGAAGAAAGGATGCGGCTTGGGACTGGGAGCGGTCATAAGGTTCGTCGAGAAGCTAGGTGGCACTTTGGGAAACTTTCCAATTTTCCTTTATGGTTCCTACAGGGGGTACCTATTCATAAATACTTCTAAGGGCCCCAAATCTACCACCCAGGAAGGTGGCCATGTTTGTCGTCGCAGCCTTGGCTTGCTTTGCCCTGATACGCTCAGACTACCCGTCGAGGTGGCTCATCGAAGATTCCGGGTTTGTGATCTTTCGAAAGCATCGTGGTTGCCTGCTGGTTGAACTCTCACCGCCTGACGAGTACCACACCATCTTTCGACCTAAGGAAAAGAACAGCTTAAGACCAGACCACAACTCGGAGAACTGTGGCTTCATCGACCACGAGGAGGACGAGTGGTTTTCTGGAAGGGTCTCAGTCTTTCAGATTCATGGCAATGTCTCATCGCTTCTGACGAACCAGTACTCCTTCTTGGGTCAGGCACACGGTAGCATGGGTGCGGAGTCCTACGACGTGAACCCTGGGTACCTGCTCCTGCTTGGGGGAGTGGCAACTGCCTTGAGTGTGGTGTTTGAGGGCTGCCTGCTGATCGCCAAGTTTGTGGATGTTCCGAAGGCATGGTGGTTCAGCCTTCTGAGCCTTATCCCCTACTTCTTTTACATTCCGCTGAACACCCAAGTTTCGGAGAATCAGCAGGTGTGGATAAGATTTCCGGCCCTTTATGAGATGGCGGCACTCTTACTGATTGTTGCAGCAGCCTTCGTTTCTTTTGCCGCCTGTGCACTAGCATGCATTTGCGCAAGTGGCGAGTGCCACGGTCGTCATCATCGCCACCGTCATTATGATCATCCATGCTTCTTGGGCGCAGAGTATGCGAGAAATGTTTTTTTTGGCGTCAGCCACCCTACTTGTCAACCCAGTTGTCCTACTGGGTTCTTAGCATGTAAGGCATTACATGCTGCGGCACGTGCGGCATAATGAGTGGTTACGCACTCTTGCTGCTGGTCATGATTGCGCTGTGGACCAACTTCACCTTTCCTGCCAGCTTTGACTTCTACTTTGATTTCGACTTCTCGTTTTCCACATACCTGGAAATCTTGAAGGTGCTCACCTGGACTGCAATGCTATCCGACCTGATAGCATTCATTGCATTTTTGTGTTCGCTACGCACAGATAGCAAAGGAGGCCACGAACTCAGCGACGAAGCCGTCTGAGCCTTGTGAATGGGTTTACTGTAGGAATACTACACGGGGTACTGTAAGCTTGCCAGGCTTACCATAAGGATTGCTGTCCGGTGCATTCTGCGAGCTAGTCACCTGTACTAGTTCTCGGGCCTGCCCATGCCCTGATGGTCAACAGTCCACATTGGCGCTTTTCAAGATCTTTTAAGTGAGTCTTTACAGATGTCGCCGTTGCTCTTCTACAGCATGCGTGTACAGAACTCGTCCACCTGCATGCAGCATGAGCCGCTGTTGCTTCTGGGCAGGTTCGACGGGTTACTGGCGAAGGTGCGCAGTGCAAGCTTGCCTGGCACCGAAGCTCGCTTCGGCCAAGAGAAAGATCACGGGTCACTCCGAGATCTCCGGAAACCTACATCCTGAAGTAGGCCTCAACCCCGAAGCCAGCACCTTCCATCGGATAGTATGCCAATTACGACGGCCTTTGTTGCCTCAGCGCTCCTTGGATGTGTTCGAAGCGGGCGGTTCGCAAGTATTGCACTGGAATGATGCTAGTTCGCGCGTTCGGCAAAGCGGTATCCTAACTGTTGGGATCATCTCGTGCGCTAGTATCATACAGGTGCTAAGCACTCCAAAAAACCGACCTAACAGCATTCCCCACCATCTCCCTTTCGCTTCACTGCTTTTCCGGAGTACTTAAAGGAACCATTGACCACACGACCCCTTCTCATAATAACCCGTAGAAGCCCTTACAGGCAGCCGTACAGCCGTACAGGAGACGACGTTTTTGCCCTTCCTCAAGGAGACACTTTTCGGTTTTCTCCTGACCTTCACCACCTTTTCGTTTAGCAATGGCCACATAGGTTTTGTGCTTGTCGGATTGAAAGTATTTATGAAGCCCTTAAGCCCTAAACCCTCAACCCTATAAACCCCCTAAACCCTCAACCCTCTAAAGGCTTGTCACCGAATCTGTCGCCAGTTTGCGGCCCTGTGAGGCTGGCGTTGGCGTGAAGACTTGTCTCTTACCTCAGTTATTTAAAAGGTCCTATTGGTCTCTAAGGGGTTTTAGGGTTTAGGGTTTAGGCTTAGGTCTTTAAGTACCTAGAAGGGTGCCTTTTATGGTTTGGGGTTCAGGGTTCCCTCAAAGTGTGCCTTACCTCAGTTAAGGATCGCACCTATCGTCTCCATTGTACTTCGTGTTTTGGGTTACATTATAGGATCCTGATCAGTTATGGATCACACCTAGAGTCTCCGTTGTGGGTCCTTTTTGGGCTACGTTATGGGATCCAACATTTCAATTTGGTGAAGCCAGAACAGGAACTCCAATGGAGACCATGGGCAGTGTTTAGAAAGCTTGAACCGCGCCCTAAACACTATTCCCCCAAACCCTAGCTAGACCCTAAACCCTAACCCCTAAACCCTAAACACCTTGATTGCTAGGCGGAATAAGGCGCTTAAAAAAAAAAACCTAAACACCCACCTAGGCTGGTAGGATCCGCGGGGCCAGAGAAGATGGACGGCATAGAAACTAGTAGTCCCACCTTTAGGATCCGACGTAAACGACGGGCATCTTGCTGGCTTCCTTTAAGGACTTCGTTTGTTTTCCAAGCGCCGTTTATGGCTCCTTGAGAGAGCCCCTGCACATCAATTTGCCCGTGGCAAAATATATAGGGGCCTTAATCATTAGAATAGGGTTTGGGGGTATATTATTCTGTAATTATAGTAAGGGACCCCCGAAATCCCTATTCCAATTATGAAGGCCCCTCCAGTACCGTCATAATCTCTCCAACGACTGTTTAGGGTTAGGGGTTTAGGGTTTAGGGTTAAGTTCACCCGGCACCCGGAAGCGTCACCTCAACCCGCAGCTTGCTGCGGCAAGCACAAGATCTTCTAGGCGAGGGGCCTTGAAGAACGTTTCAACATAACCACTTTGCCCTGCCTTCTCGGGGTCTAAGCCCTCCACATCCCTCTTAGGGAATCCTCGGCACTCACTCTTTCGCTGCTGCATGCAGTACTTGTAGCAGTAGCACTTAAACACGTCAGAAGCCTCAGGGTGCTTGGAGGTGCATGGGTAGTTATAAGTGGGGTCATAAGTAGGGTAACTATACTTAAAACCCATATTAGGGGACTTATATAACCCCACTTATAACTACCCATGAACCTCCAAGTGCATCATTTACAATCAGTGGTGCCGGGATCTGAGACTTTCAGGTTTACACCCGACAGGCCAGCACCCAACTTCTGGCAAGTCTCTTAGGAGTTGTCGGTTACTGTTGTTAATTGCTGTAGTATCTCTAGATATCTCTAGACTAGAGTTCGGGCTTGCCTGGCTGGAGGAGTAGAGCTTTTGGGCTTCTGGCTTTTCCGTCTAAGGTTCACTCTTCTGCCGTGGGCCAGAAGCCCCCTCTGGGAGTCCCTCCTCCAAGCGCGTTTGCCGAACTTCGGGCGTCCACTTCCTCTGCCAATCCACATCACACGTGCAGCTGAGCTGAGAAACTCGCCAGTCGCCGAGACTGTTGTTGCTGTTATCACGGTTGTTATTGCTACTATTTACGATTACTGCTGTTCTTCTTCTTCTGGAAATTATGATTGTCAAAAGTCTTGTTCTTCTTCCAGTCATAATTATCATTACTACTGTCATGAGCAGGACCAGGGAGGAGCAGGAGTAACTGAGTATCCGTAGCAGCAGCTGCACAAGCATCCGTAGTTGTGCTGTCCTCGTCGTACTATCGGGCAGTACTATCGTACAGTAGTCGCCTGTGCGGTAGTCTAGTAGTTAGTAGCAGGAGGGGAAGAGCACGAGCAACAAGGTCGTACCGGGATTTCATAATCCCATTTTTTCTGACCGAAAGCAACAAAACTCACAGCAAAGTGACGGCTATTCTGTCCTATATCATGGTAGGAGCGAGAGAGAGAGAGAGAGAGAGAGAGAGAGACAGAGAGTGAGTGAGTGAGTGAGTGAGTGAGTGAGTGAGTGAGTGAGTGCGTGAGTGAGTGAGTGAGTGAGTGAGTGAGTGAGTGAGTGAGTGAGTGTGAGTGTGTGTGTGTGTGTCTGTGTGTGTGTGTGTGTCTCTGTGTGTGTGTGTGTGCGCGCGTGTGTGTGTGTGTGTGGAAAGTTTAGATCCGGACACTTTGTTCTGGGCACTTTCTGGGGCGGGGGTGGGGTGGGGGGTGGGGGGCCTTGGATCCCACAAACATCTTGATGAAGCCACTAGGGCTGGGACCACCCTAAAACTTCAATGCACGATCGGAGATATCGAGATACCTTGTTTCCTCAAACTTGTAGTGGAGTTTGCAGTCTCTGGTCAGCAAAGTGTCGCCTGTGAACCCTCCGCGGGACTGCGCCCTTATCTGCTCATGGCCGGAAGCACTTTCAGCATGTTGCAGATAAGTCAGTTTTAGCCGGGCTTTACAGCTATGCTAACAAGAAAGTCAGCTGTTAATGGCCATTCTGGTCGCCATACACAGAACGCAGCAAACGTCGGACAGTCAAAACTTGGACAGTCCGACATGCGCATACCCAGATCAGTCAACATGTACATGTATCCTGGTCGCCATACATAGAAGGCCAAAGTCGGACAGTCAACACCTGGGGGGTTTAGGGTTTAGGGATCAGTCAAGTAGCCTGAGCCTTCCCAGGCCACTTCGGCTATAGTTTGAGTCTCAGCTGAGGCACCCACTGCCTTCCCCAACCGCCGTGACCACCATCGCCATCCAGCCGACCCTGGCCATCCTCAATGCCCTGCCACTAGGACCCCCGGTTCTCTCCAGAGGAGTTCATTTTCCGAGTTGGTTTAGCCTCTCTTCATTCTGAGTTCTCAGTTCTCTTATGAATCACTTTCCATGGTTGTGTTGGCTCGGTAAAAACGCAAGGGGTTATTTGAGATGTTCTTGTTCTGGCTTCTCCTTAGATCGCTTGCTGTGTTTGTAAGGTAGACCCAACAGGTTCGTAGCAATATTACTCCTAAGAATAGTAGCAATGGCAATATCTGTAATGGGGATTTGGGAATGGCATTGGTTGGAAATTATAGCATTGGTGGTGACAACAAGAAGGCTGGATGATGAGAGTAAGAACCGTAGCCTCACATATTCGCATGATTGCCCAAGAGCCTTATCTAGCTATAATGTTAATAGTAGTATGCATCCTACAAATATATAGGGTAGTTGTCAAAATTATGGTCCCTTTTCTGGGGTACCCTAAATAATAGGTGCCGTATTATAATAAGGACCCAAAAAAGTACCCTAATTTTGACAACCACCCATGAGTAGGGTTGAGAAGGGCCTTATCATAAGGATCCTATTATTTGGGGTACTATATTAGGGTCCCCTTTTTTTCGGAAACCACCATATCTGTATTCTCCTGCTTCAGGCACAAGGGGCCTTTCCTGGTGCACCGTCTCAATCGGCTCAGTGGCCTCAGCGTTTTTAGGTGTTGAGGGTTAAGGGGCTGGGCTTAGGGTTTAGGGTTTGGGGTTTAGGGTTTTAGGGTTTAGGGTTTAGGGGTTTAGTTTAGATGTGGGGTTTCGGGGTTAGGGTTTGGGATTTGAGCAACTAGGAGGCACTCCAGAGAAACCTGGCTCAAGAAAGTACTATGTACTTTGGAGCTCACGTCAAAAGGACTTCCAGTTAAAGACAGCTGAAATGCTCTGAAAACCCTAAACTCTAAACCTTAAACCCTAAACCCTAAACCCTAAACTCTAAACCCTAAACCCGGAACTCTAAACCCTAAACCCAAAACCCCAAAACCCGAAACCCTAAACCCCCAAACCCCCTGCTAAGCTGAAGCTCCCTCGTCCGGCAGACCCGAGGCTCGATTGTGAAATCTAAGCAGAAGCTTAGGAGCCCAGCAGGTAAACTTTAAACTTTTTGGTATATTACCCCCCTACTAAAAGAAAAGTTTAAACTTTTTTGGGCCAGGGTACTGGGCTCAAAGGGAAAGCGAAATCCCTACAAATTGAGCTCCTGCACTGTCCAGTCGCAGCATGTTCCTGAAACTCTGCTTGAGGGGTCATGGGTTGAGGGTTGAAGAAACCCTAAACCCTAAACCCTAAACCCCTTTAAGGGCTTTTGGCGTTCCTCTATAAGGGTTCCTTTACGAGTCCAGAGACTCGGAGCTCAACTTTTTTCGGATAGCCAAGCTTCAGGGTTTAGGGTTTAGGGTTTAGGGTTTAGGGTTTAGGAGAGGGGCCCAGTTGGGCAGCTTCGAGGAGTCCATAGCTACTTTCACGAGTTAGCCCTAAAGCTCCAAACTCGAAGCCCCAAGCCCAAAAACCCCCACGCTAAACACGAAGGCCAGCCCTAAAACCCAAACCCTAAAGTTGGTGACACGTACCGAGTGCTGTGCTAACGATTTGTTGGAACCAGTATCGCTACAGACCTTGCCAGGCTTGTCCGAGTGTGAGTGTCAAAAAATAACCGAACCCGAAACTTTAAAGCCTAAAACCCGAAACCCGAAAACCTAAACCTTAAACCTAAGCCCTAAAACCTGAACCCTAAAGCCCTAAAGCCCTAAACCCAAAGCCCTAAAGCCCTAAACCCAAAGCCCTAAAGCCCTAAACCCAAAGCCCTAAAGCCCTAAACCCAAAGCCCAAAAGCCCTAAACCCCAGAGTCTGCAGTGCAGGATGCCTGGGTTTGCGGTACACCACGAAGCCAGAGGAGAACAAGTACTTGGAGGCGCAGATTCAGTGTGAGATGGGGGGTTTAGGGGTTCGGGTCTAGGGTTTAGGGTTTAGGGTTTAGGGTTTAGGGGTTTGGGTTTGGGTTTTAGGGTTTAGGGTTTAGGGTGTGTGTGTGTGTGTGGGTGTGGGGGTTTAATTAAGTTTAAGGGTTGCCGTGGTGCTGGGATTTCATGCATTTTCGCATGTAAGATGCCCACAGAAAGACAGAACTCACATCATACGAGAGGGCCCTCTGATGATTTGACAAATCTCCTTCTTTCTTAGACAGCAGAATAGTGTGCTAACCGAAACCTTACAGAGATAAGCTAAACCCAAACTCCCCTCGAGCTTCCTTCTCTTGACACTCACAGAAACTTCGCGGCCAAGAACGGAGCCCTCCCAAGGCCCAAAAATGCCCGAACTATATTCGAAACCTTGTAGAAGCCAGTTTGATACCCTTTAAAGTACAAGAAGTCTGTTGAAAGAGACCGAAACCCCAAAATCCAAAAACTCCTATCTGATTGCTCCTTAAAGCAGCTGAGTCTCATAGGAATCCCAAGCTTCCAATATGAGTTGTGTTGTCAATGTAGGGGCCTAAGTAAGATCTTGATTATAATTTACCACCGCTTTCACCGTGAATCCCATTCGTCCTTGCGAGGGGTTTGGGGCTGAGGGTTAGGGCGGAAAAAAGCCTTGAATCCTCAAGGAGCCACCCAAAAACGAACCCTAAACCCCTAAAGCCCCAAAAACCCCTAACACCCCTAAAACCCCTAAAACCCCTAAACCCTAAACCCCAAAACCCTAAAACCCCTAAACCCTAAACCCCTGAACCCTAAAGCTGAACCCTCAAGCCCTATAAAGGAACCTTTGGCCCCTCCGAAAGAAGGCTGGGTTCTGGAGTACCATACTTGAATACGTTTGTTGGGGACCTGTTCCTTAAGGGAACCATCATGAAATTAAAGTCTATACCCTAAACCCTAAACCCTTTTTTCTCCCTGGTTACTTCAAAGTCTGGAAGGCCACCGAGGCCACGGTGCAAAGCTTCTCCCGGCGACACATCTACAGCTTCCCAGGCTCGGGCTGGTTCAGGGTTTAGGGCTTAGGGTTTAGGGTTCAGGGTGTAGGGTGTAGGGTTTAGGGTTTAGGTTTTGGGGGTAGGGTTCAGGGTTTAGGGTTCAGGGTTCAGGGCTTAGGGTTCAGGGTTTAGGGTTCAGGGTTTAGGGTTTAGGGGTTAAGGGCTCATCTTCACATTATAATTCTAGGTCATATTTCTATCGCTATCTTATAGGAGGAACTTACCATTCTGTTAGACCTATAAGAGTTTAGTTGAGGGATAGTGGTATTTTATAGGTCATATCTGATGGAGGATTCTAGGGCGCTCGGGGTTTTTAGGGTGTAGGGGCAGCGTAGTGTACGGGCCTAGATAATTACCTATACGATGTTGGGGGGGAGGGGGATCCCTTCTTAGAAATCTAGTAGAAGATACCCCCAAAACCCTACCCTAAACCCTAAACCCAAAACCCTATTCTAATTACTAAGGCCTCTACATCAGGGTGTGGAGACTTAGGGTTGCAACTTGAGGTTTGGGGTTCGAGGGTTTTTTGTGTTTTTGGGGTTGTAGGGTTTGGTTAGGGCTTCAGTAATTTATGTCTTTAGGGTATTAAAGGCTTACGTAGAACAAAAAGCACTTCGGATTTCAGATATCTTTTTCGGAAATGAGATAGCCAAGTCGTGCAAGAAGGTCACAGGCGCAAACGCACACATTCCAAGTCTGAAGCGCAGGATTTGTGGTCGTTGCTGTCAGCCTTGTCTTGTCGCTGTCGCGACTGCTGTTGCTGTTGTCATTGTGAACCCTATACTAAACCCGAGACCCCTAAACCCTAAATCTAAACCCTAAACCCTAAATCTAAAACCCTAAGCCGTTTTGGGCCGCCTGCGGGGATCACAACGGCTCCAGTGGCCCTTACGATCTCGGGTGGAAGAAAAGACGTGTCCGGGAAGCAGGGAGCTTGCAGGTTCAGGCTTCGCAGATTTTTGGGGTTTAGGGTTTAGGCTAGGGGGGACTGTTTTTAGGGTTTGGGGTTCGGGGTTTAGGGCTTTGGGTTTAGGCTAGGGGGGACTGATTTTAGGGTTTGGGGTTCGGGGTTTAGGCTGTTTTTAGGGTTTGGGGTTCGGGGTTTAGGGCTTTTAGGCTTGGGGGGACTGTTTTAGGGTTTGGGGTTCGGGGTTTAGGGCTTTGGGTTTAGGCTTGGGGGGACTGTTTTTAGGGTTTGGGGTTCGGGGTTTAGGGCTTTGGGTTTGGGCTTGGGGGCACTGTTTTTAGGGTTTGGGGTTAAGGGTTTAGGGCTGCAAACTAAACTCACGAGAAGTTGCCATGAGTGCTTTGATGCACCAGGCGTGCGGCGGGAGGGCCTGGCCGTAATCGCAAGGTCGCGCCTGGGTTTAGGGTTTAGGGTTTAGGGACAAGGGATGACATTGGTTGAGAGTTTGTGTTTTTGGGCTTTTGGGCCTTCAGCGACGTGCAACTAGAGATGTTGTCTACCCTGGTAGGGTTTGCAGGGTCAACGAGACAGGCTCGGTTTAGGAGTCACGGCCGGGTTCTGAGCTTTGTTAGGCTTTTTCTTAATTTTTTTTGGGGGGTTCTATAGTATTGCAGCACCATTATCTGGGCTACTATAACTAATGCCGCGCCCCTCTGCACAGTCACAGGGTTCATTATTCTTCCACTTCACCTAGCAAAAGAAAACTTCGGCTTGCATAGGTCGGGTTAAACCGCTTCGGGGGTGCCATGGTTTAAAAAGTCGAAAAACAGACCTGGAGGTGCCTGGACAATGCTCTTTAAACCCTAAACCCTAAACCCTAAACCGGTTCTTAAGCATCAGCCCACCCCCAGTCGAACCATCAAGGGCCTCTGAAGAAGCCTAGGGAGCCGGAACTAGGGCAGAAGACCCGTCCAAATTTCCTAACTGCATAAGGCCCTCTCGTCCGGTGGCCCAATAGAAAAACTAAACTAAGCACTGTGGGCGCTAAATCCACACAGCCCCGCAGCCATTCACAGCCGCAAGGAGTCTGAAATACAAGCCTGAAAGCCGAGGTGTCCGGAAGGCTTAGCCAGCCCGTGATTTCGGGGCGTGTTGCTCACAGTACTAGATCCGA